ACCCAACCTTTAAAAAGTTTGTTCAGGAAATTCCCAAAACTAGCCATAGCTACCAAAATACCAACAACTATCAGAGATGATAATTTAACAATCAGCTGCATCTATTAATTCAACTTGTTAAAATGTGGCCACAGTATGAAATGTACAGTCTGAGAAGCTTCCAAGTCTCTTCAGTGCTCGTCACAGGTGTGGATGTACTTGCTATGAGTCAGAGACAAAAGACAAAAGAGATTGGAATCCAAGTTGTACTAAGATGAGCTCTCTATTCATGTTTCCTGAAAAGTCCTTTAAATAGCTACCGCTGACACATGGAGCATGATTCACTTTTCTTCCTCTGCTTAGGCTCACACCCTGAATAGCACAGGAAAGGAGAGGTAGTGCACACCCCCACTGTACTGCAGAGTTCACAGTATTCCTTATTTCCTTCTGTTATGGGCACATTCACACCGCTCCACCTAACCTGGTAATTAGACCATACCACATAAAACCACACTGTTAGAATTCTCTATAATAGTTAATGTTGCTCTTTTAAAAAAGTTTTAAGGGTTTTACAAACATTCCATTTATTAATTACTCCATCTCGTGTCAGATTAAAGTATTGACAAAGGCACACCCAACACTGGTCTAAGAGGAGGTAGATTTCTTACAAAATTGAAAATTCGAGCACTATATTTTGATACCATGTGAAAATACTTGGATTTTTCATGGTGATGAATAGGTATGAATTTTGTTTGCTTTTTTTTCTCTGTATTGTCCACGTTTTCCACAATAAACCTATTATTCTTATAAATATACAATCATACTAACATTTTTTAAGGAGAAAGGCTTCTCAGTCAATTTAATCCAGTCTTATCAGGACTATTTTTTGTACTCCTGGATATTTTGCTTTATTTAGGATACCATAGAGAGGCAGGCACCAATAAATATATTATCCCTGTCATCAAAAATAGCAGAAAAGAAAACTTTTTCTATTTCATTAAGCTCCACAAATATTTAGAAGACCCGTATGCTATATATGTCTTAATATAAAAAAGATGTGGATTGCCATAGTCTACAGAAAATACATGATAAATATATTGACTTTCAAATATCTGAGGGATGACTTGCAGACCATAATTCAAGCAAGAAATTTAATATATATTTTCATGATTTAAAAACTTACTTTTGCTAAAATTTCATCCTACATATATTTAGCATAGAGTGGCCTCCTTTGATACTCACAAATTTAATCACATCTCTTATTCCTAAGAAATTATTAGATAGAACCAACTTTGTACCAGTTTTTTAAAAAGGCTATATACCCAGAAAGGAATGAATTACATAAAGGTCAAACAGTGACGGTCAAGATTTTCTAAATTCTTAATGATCAGGTACAATACAATTTAAATATATTTATTAAAAATACATTTCCAGGAAGTCTAACAAATATACCTATTTATGCACAAACTTGGTAAGTATAAAGTAGATATAGAGATTTATGGATTATCTCACAAACTGAGTTATGCATATTTTTATTTTCCCCTCTTCTATCTACAAGGACTCTATGAGTTGATTACTTAAGCTGTTTTCCTTAAAAACTTTACTCAAAATACCTGCTTTAGATTAATGTATTTTAAGCTTGAATTAATTTTCTGCTGTAGCTACAATAAAGAATATTTAAAATTTAAAATGTTCCTTTTTATTTCACTTCTAGACTAAGATGAAATAGATGCACTTCTCCCTATTTTTCTCAAGAAGTACAGCTAAAAGACCTGGACATTATCTTTAAAACAAATGTAAGAAGACTGCAAAGGGGGACAAGAAAGCAGACCACCTGCGGACTTGAGGAACCAAGGAATGACACAGCAGCAAATTTTGTGAGTTTTCTTTTAGCCTCCTATATCCCAAACTAGGTACTGGAATGACCAGCAACCAGGAAATTCCAATGGGCACAAACACAAACAGCCCCAAGGAAAGCTATCCCTCTCCATCCAAAGGTCCACAAAAGGGGCAACCTAGCAGAACAGATAACTGGTAGATAATAAGTGCTCTATGAGAGCCAAACCCCACGGAAAAAAAAAAAAAAGGGATCCCATCTCCAGCTCTATGAGCAAAGGCCAAAATGCTAAACCCAGACTCTACCCTCACCCAGCAGGGACATAGAAACTAAACAGTGTGCCTGCCTTTGAGTTCAATTTGTCTATTAGACCTCCTAGTACACTTTTATATCACTTATTTGGCCAAGGTGATAAAATACTCCCTAAGTTAGTTTACTCTTTTTTCCACATAGTATAAAAAGGAGAGAGGTCCTTTTTGGTACTGAAGTAAAATCACCTAAAAAATGTTTTCTTGAGACGTACTGTTTCTAGTAAAAGGAAAGTATTTTTAAATTGAATATTAGTTTTGAAGACTCAAGTTGTTACTCTTAGATTACCACTATTAATAGTAAAAGCAATAAGACAACAATGATAATGTCACTAGGCGTTTACATTGGTTTTCACTATGGAAAGCTCAAAATATTGTATACCAGGTGTTAGATGGTCTCTCAGGTATGTTATTGTTCCCATTAACAGATTGAGAAACCGAATTTGCAAAGGTATCTGTCTCACTAACGGGCCCAGAATAAGTCACTCAATGTAGAGAGAAGAAAACACAAAGTTCCAGTAATCAGTACTGAACCTTCCAATAAGCACCCTAATTCCAAGTATGGAGCTATAAATGTGGCTGTACACAATGTAATTAGCCCTTGGGCAGCAGGGTGCATTATATTAGTGAATTCATTCATTCATTCAGGAGTATTAATTGAGCCCACATTACATGCCAAGTATTGCTCTAGGCACTGGAAAGTTCCCATCTCATGGAGCTTACACTCTGGTGAGGGTAAAAGAACAAATAAACAAATCAAAATAAAATAACAATTGTTATGAGGAGGGGAGAAAAAAGCAAAGAAAGGGGGCTAGGGAATGCTGAGCATGTACACAGGTTCTTATTTTCTATAGCATAGTCAAAGAAAGCTTCCACAAGAAGGTAGCATTTGAGCAACTTTCTAAAGGAAACTAGGGTTCACTGAGAGTTGTTAAAAAGTATAATTTTCAAAAAGTTAAAATGTGACTCATATAAATATAAATGAAACACATCAAAGACTTACACTACTCTTTATTAATAAAAGAATCATTTATGTTAACAGAAGGAATCAGATGTTAAGACTGGTTCAAAGAACATTTGAATAGGCATACGAATAGAAATTTTAAATAATGGAGTGTTAGACCAAGCAAGAGTGCTAGATGGAGATAATGTCTAATGAACGTCCTACAGGGCAATAAACACTATTCTTTGAAATTCTAACAGAGAGATATTATTTGCACCTCTTCTGTGAAAAAAATTAATTAACGTGTAATGTCAATACAACGGAGACTTTTAATCAACAGTAAACAGTGAGTCACATTCACAGTGAGTACTACATTCTTTTAAATAATCCTTGAGTAGGTCTAGTAAGTAATGCCCTCATAGGACACTGAAAGAACATACTACTCACCATTTTCCTTGTTTTCAAGTTTTACATTTTTTAAACAAAGCCATGCAGATATCTGCAGGAAGAGCATTCCAGTCAGAGAAACTGAATGAATCACAAACTTGTTTCCCTCCACTCACCACTCCAACAGGCAAGGAATGCCCTCAGTAACACAGACTCACACATTCGCCTGGACCTTATTATGAATTCAGTGTAAGTAAATAGCTGGGGGCGAACTGGAAAAGTTGGAGAAGCCAGAAGATTTACACTGAAAGGAGAATGATAGTTGAGGTTGGGAAATGATTTGACTCACATTTTTTAAAAACACTACTCCACCTGCTGAAATAAAGACTCATTAAGGGAGAAGAGCACGGGTAGAAGCTAGAAGGCCACTTAGGAGACTATTAAAACGATCTAGGCAAATAAACAAGTAAATACATAGTTTGTCAGATGTGAAAAGTGCTATGGAGAAAAATAAAGCAGAATGTGGGAAGGCTAGTAGGGGATGTCAGCATTGTTTGGAAAGGTCTCCCTTGATAAGGTGATTATGTGCACGGAGACCTGAATGATGTAAAAAAGTAAACAATGCAGAAAATTGAGGGACCAGTGCTCTAGACATAGGGATAAAGCAAAACGATTGAAGAGAAAGAATCAGGTAAAAGACAGGGAGGAGGGACACAAAAAAATGGAGGGCCTTGCAAACCATTTTAAGGACTTACTTGACTTTTAGTTTGGGTGAGGTGAGAAGCCATTGAAGGTTTCCAAGCAAAGAAATGACATGAGCAGCTTTAACTATTAAAGAGATCACAGTGGCTGTCATGTGGAGAATGGTCTGTAAGTGGGCAATGACAGAAGCAAAAAAGATTAGAATAGAAGATACTTCAGTATTCCAAGGGAGAAATAAGGATGGCCTAGAATAGGCTGGCAGCAGTGACCATAATGACAAACAGTCAAAACCTGGATATTTTGAAGGTACAGCCAACGGGTTTTGCTTAAGGAACAGACACGGGGTAAGCACAAAAAGGAATAAATGTGGGTTTCAGCTTTAGCAACTGGAAAGACAGAACTGCTATTTCCTGGGATGGGGAAGACTGCAGAAGAAACAAGTTTGTTAAGGAAATTTGAGGAGAAGACGAGGTGACATTGATTACAAACAATTTATGAAAAAGGTTAAGTATCTCAGTTTGGTGTTTATACGATTCTAAGCTCTTTTCAATTGTAATCACAATAAGAAAAATTGGAATGTCTAATTTCCAAATTGAGAAAATCATCAGAAACAGAATATTTTTCGCCAGGCTGAGTCTGAATCAGCTAACCTGCATGGCCTCTCAGGGATTCGTGCTCCTCAAAATGGCATTTATCATTAATTTCACACGTTAGTCAGTATTTTACATATTTAAGCAAGTATCTGATGCTTCGTTCATAAAGTTTTCATTGAGCACTTTTTGAAGTTATATTACATGCTTCATCAAAAGGCCTACATACTAAATTTATAATTCACTGTTTTTACCTGAAGTTCTTTGTATCTATCTTGAAAAGAAATGGCCTCTTGCTCTTTTTCTTTAAGGAAATCTTTTTCCAAGACACTATGTTTTTCCATCAATGATTCCACATCCTAAAAGAAAAAAATCCAAGCATAAATTCTGTAATATTTAAAGGCATAAAATATATTCAGTTTTTTCAATGAACATATTTAGAAAATATTTGGTAAGGAAAGAACCCACCGGAAGTATGGTTTTCAAAGTTCAACAATATTATAAAACGTATGCTTCACTCTCATTCCCAGACCAATATCAAACACTGATATAACACTAACACTGCTAAAACACTAAAATTATTCATGCTAATAAATAAATAAAAGCATCTAAACTAATTATAAACAACACTCTACCTATACTTTCTATAAATTTGCTAAGGTCTTTTTATAGAGATATTTGTAGGAAACAGAAATGAGAACACATAAATAATTTACTAAAATAGCTGTATTTCTAAGCAATCTTGTCAAATATCCCATCATGTCTGACTTCTCATAGGGACAAATGAATATTACAGATCTTCTAACGTACATAAGAAATACAACACTACCTGCTTTCAAGTAAATAAAAATAAACCAGAAGGAAAGCATTCATTAGCGAAAAAAAAAATCTAGTAAAAGATGTTCATATCTTTAAAAGTACACCTTTAAAACTAGAAATTTCTTATCAAAGACTTTCGTAAGAGATAAGCTTGTATGACTGATTTAAATCTACAGCCAAAGAGCATAATAGCTTTTCCACTGCTGAATTTTTAATCAGAAGTTGGGATTATATCATATTTCCAGTATCTGCAATTCAAACATTTATTTTTTAGGCAAATGTAAATATACCTTTTTAATTCTCTGTTTTTCTTCTTCAGATACTTTGAGTTTCATCTCCAGACTTGAAATTTTCTGCTGAAGCTGTATGTTTGATACATTGGCTCCAGGATCCTCAGAATCATCCACAAGAGCAATTGTTCCATTACTTTTCTCCTCAGTTAAACCCAACGGAAAAAGTGAGATATCCAGATGAGTGTGTGTTGATTGCTGAATCTAAACCACATTAAAAAAAAAAAAAAAAACACAAGAGGGGAAAGTTTACACTGCACCAAGAAGGAAAACATCCAAAGGGCACCAGAAACCACATTTGGAAATTAAGTTGTAGCAAAGGTTCCGAAATTATTTCACCCTTTAAGTAAACCTACAGAAGACCTCAAACTATTACAACAACCTGATCTTTGCAATAAGAAACAAAATTTTCTGTAAACTTCAGAGTTTAAAGCATTTATTATTTTCCAAGCAAAGCATTAAAAACTTAAAACTTTTTCTTGAGAGTGTATATTAAGTATAAATACATCTGATACCAGTTCTTGAATTTACACACACTCAGAATTTGTTTATATACTAAGTTATAAATCAGATTTTAAAATTTATCAATAACCACTAATTAATCATCACTTTCTAGTAAAGATAACGGGTGACTCAAGATTGTATACAGCACTTTGGAAATCTGGAATAACTCCAACGTCTAGCACAAGGCCTGAATCGATAAATATTTGAATGAATAAATGCTATGACCGCTGTGTTTTTGGTCTTATTCTAAAATTGAAATGAACACTCTAATACTTGAAAACATATGGTAAGCTTCCCTGAAAAGAGAAATCGTTTTTTTGTAATTATTTTCCTTTTTGCAGTTCACGATCTGCAATGCAAAACTAAGTCAACTTTAATAAAACATATTTGGTTTTCAAACAGTATTTTGGTAACTAACACTGCTTAAATACCTTGCAATTGTGCCACAAAACAAACACAGTATTCAGTTTTTAGAATTCTAGATATTAACCTCAAAGTTAGAGTATCTACAGGAGGGGGAAAAAAATGGAAATCAGGAAATCTTCAATTAAATCAGTGTGCAATTTTTTAAGTAGGCAAAGTTCCTATAAAAATATGCTTGTCTTTACCTGTGCTTTAGGAAAAGTTTGACTGACAATGCTATTGTCTGCATGTGTATTCTCCGGTGATGAAATGATGGGCTCAGAAGAGAGGCAGCCAACCGAAGGAGAAGTGTGGTCATGGTCCAATACAATCTCAGGAGAGGCTGGAGAAAGATGGACTCCAGATACTAAAGGAAAACAAACAAAACAAAACAAGGATCATTAAAGGGAAAATAAAGAACAGGTTGAAGGGAAGAAAGAGAGTAGAGGGAGGGAAAGAAAAAGGGGTAAGGAAAGTAAAAGCAATGAGATAGAAAATGAGGATTCTATGACTATTTTTCAGGGATTTTTATCTGAGATCTAAAACTAGTGTTTCTAAATTGAACAGGACATTTCCATGTAAGACCCAAGCAAACAAAACAACTTAATAATGTCTTAATGTCTACATACTAACACATTACCATAAGGGGTGCATTTGCAACTCAGAGACATTATTCAAATATATTATTTACCTATTCAATTAGTTAAGAAAAAGCACTAGCATGCCTACCAGTGCCAAACACAGGCACTAGGTACTGAGGAGACAGCAATAAGCAGGACACGCATCCATGTACTCAGTGACCTTATGACCCAGGAGGGAAGTCAAATGAAATACTTATGACAATAAAGCGAGCTAAGGGGAAGAACAATGACGTTAAAATAGCTAATCCACTGTCTCTGTGTTAATTTCTTCTTTTACAACAGCAAAAGATTTTTCATGTTAAAATCAATTTTAGTTGTTTCCACATAAAAATAATGTTGAAATGCAACTCTGTAATTAGTTTCACAACAAAATATTATTAGATTGTGATTAGGGTTCAAATACAAAGGTCACAAAAGGAAAGCCAATTCCAAACATGAAATAAGACAAAAATATTGATGATGGCAAAATAAACAGATATTACTTTATTTTCAAACGTTCTTTCTAAAAATTCAAATGCATTTGTATTGTGTGTTTTAAAGTTTAAGAAGAGTTAACTAAATCATTTTTAACAGTAATTCATTTATACGTTTTGACTTTCTAAGTTATAAAGACCTTTATTCCACATTGGCATCAGTAGCAACGTCAGTGAAGTTCTACCATAAATTCTGGAAGGCAGCTCACAATGGAAATTGCATTTTTCCCTGAAGAAAGACATTTATAACGTCATTAGGTATTAACAAACTAAGGAATGTATCAATTTTTTATTGGTACCATATAGGATTATTTAATTATCTTATATACACTTTCATTGTGTAGCAGTATTGTGTTTTTCAAATACTATGTGCCATACTGGATAAGGTATTGTAGCTTCTCCCACAAGCATTTCACTATTTTAACTAAAATACAGAAAACGGGAATTTCAACCCATGTTTGTACTTTACATATCTTTTTCAGAAATTTTTGCTAATCTTCACTATTCTATATGCTAACAGATTTCCCTAAAATGTCAAAATATTCTAACTTCTAATTCTAAATTACAATTATACCAAAAATATTACTAATTCGTTTTTAAAGGAATGAAAATAAGTACTATAGTATAGTGAAGAGGAATACAGCCTTATGATTAGAGCACAGACTCTGAAATCATATTGCCAAAGCAAGTGTACAACATCTGGCAAGTTTACTTAACTTCCTTCAGTTTCCTCATCTGTAAAACTAGCATAGAGGTGCTGATGAGGTTTTAAATGACTAAAATATGCAAAGCTTTTAGCATTGTGCTGAAATTATTTTCATCATTATTTCAAAGACTGTTAAAATTTGTTGGACAAGTATGTTTTACTTCCAGGCATAAAGGGTATGTGTGACTATGATCCTATGTTCAAGCAACCCTTAAAAATATCATTCTGATCCACCAGCTGAACATTTTAACATCTCTTTATGTTATTCACATTTATAGCCATAATCTAAGACAAGATGTCATGTTGTCATGAGTTAAATTCTCATTCTGTAACATTACATGTTCAAGTATGCCATATTAAGAAAAGAAAGAGGGAAAGTATGTGTGACTATGATCCTATGTTCAAGAAACCCTTAAAAATATCATTCTGATCCACCAGCTGAACATTTTAACATCTCTTTATGTTATTCACATTTATAGCCATAATCTAAGACAAGATGTCATGTTGTCATGAGTTAAATTCTCATTCTGTAACATTACATGTTCAAGTATGCCATATTAAGAAAAGAAAGAGGGAAAGAGGCTAGAATAAAGGAAGGAAGGGGGAGAAAGGAAAGAAAAGAGATAAATAAGGGGAAGGCAAAGGGAGAGGTTGAGGGAGGAAAGTAGGGAGTGGGAGGAGGCCCCCTCACCCTCACACTTCCCGCTAGTTACCACTATCATACTTTCCCTTCTTAACCAGATTTCTTGTCTCCATTTGCTTCTTCCTCACCCAACCCTCATCATGCCACTAGACCCACTTTTTATGATATTAATTTTCCTTTCAGGTATTATTAAGTCAAATGAACACTTATTTTATCTTCCTTTAGTTCTCCAGAGCACATAATACTAATGACTCTCCCTTTTCCCTGAAACTCTTCCCTTGGCACCTGTAAGCCACTATATCCTAAATTCCTCCTAACATTTTAACTTTTTTTTTCTTGTTTCCTTTTCAGGCTCTTTTCCACTCAGTCTTAATTTCATTGTTTCCTACACCCTCTGATCTTCTCAGTGTTCACATTATTCTTACCACTTTCAGAACCCATTATTTAAATTATCACCTATAAGCTAATGACACCGAAATTCACATTTCTAGCACAAACCACTCTACAGACCTCCAGATCCATATGCTCACCTAACTACCAGACAGTCCATTTAGCTGTCTCGTACATTCCTCAGACTTACCCATCATCTTACATAAACCTGCTTTGCTTCATGTTAATGGTATCTCAATGAACCATTTGCCCAAGCCAGAAATGATACCACCAAGTGCCAACTTCACTCCAGTCACACTGTGCTACTTACAGTTCCCTGATTATGCCGTACTGTTCAGTACCTCCATGACCTCACAATATTAATGCCTAAGTGAAAGCCATAGCTGTGGAATCAGAAATGGATTCAAATTTGAACAATAACAACTTACTTGTTATGCAGCAAATTACACAAACCCCTCTAAGCCACAGTTTCCTCTAATGAAAGTGGTGAAATAATACCAACAAGCTTTTCCAGGAATCTTTTCACCTACTCCGTTACCCATCCAACCACAATACAATTTTAATTTTCCACTGTCAAGATATTACAGATTTCTAAGAAATAATAATGAAAACATTACATATCTATGGGATACATTTAAAGCAGTTTAGAAAAAATCTAGATCCTTGAACACTTCAATCTAAAAAATGAATTAAATTTCCATCTCATAAACTAAAATACGAATAACACAGAAAACTTTAAAAGCACATTAAAAAAATAATAAAGATAATGCAGATGTCAAAGATTAAGAAAATAAAGCAGATCTAATTAATAAAAATCCTGAATTTCTAAGAAAATCAAAACAGTAGTTAATTTATTAACAATAAAAGGAGAAAAGTACAAATAGATAAATTAAGTGACAAGAGTAACATAATAATTAAAACAGAAGAATTTTTTTAATCATAAATCCTCTACAGACTTCTAAGTAAATAGGTTTGAAAAATCTAGATAAAATGGGCAATTCTCCACAGAAACATAGTTTATAAAAGTTGATTGGATTAAAGCTAAAAAATTCTTTAAAAATATATAATTTCCTTGGGGAAAAAATAAAATTATGAGGCAACTACCCTATAGATAAAGCATTTCAAGAGGATTTCCAACAAGAATTCGAAAAATGAATAATCCCAATGCTCTAAAATTATTACACAGCATTGAAAATGAAGGGAAACTTCATTAGCATTACATAACATTAACATAACATTGATAGCTAAGCCTGATAAAGACAATACAAAAACAGAACAATTAAAGATTTTTAGAGTATTGCTTAAAAATAATTAGGTAAAAGTTCTAAATAAAATATTAGTAAACAAAATCTAACACCATATTGAGAAAATGATATGCAATGAATGAGTCAGGTTTGTTCCAGGAATGCAAGGTTGGCTCACTATTAGGGAATTCATTAATATAACATTCCACATTAATAGACTTAAAGAGAAAAATAGCGTAACTAGCTCTAAGGCTGAAAATGCTTTTGATAAAAATCAAACACCTGTATTTGTTAAAAAAAAAACCACACACTCAAACAAATAGAAATTGATGCATACTTTCTTAAGATAAAACATACAGACCTCACTCCTAAAGTTAATTAATGTTAATTAATTAATGAAAATTAATTTTCAGTTAATTAATGAAAAAAATCTATAGGTGTTTCCTCTAAGATCAGGAATAGTGTAAGGATGCCTACTATCTCCATACCACCTAACACTGCACTCGCTAAAGCAATGTGGTTAGACAAGAGAAATTAAATGGAAGCGTAAAAATAAGAAAAGGAGGAAAACTACACCTCATGTTCCTACTAACTCAAACAATAAACACATTCAGTAAAGTAGCAGGATATTAACTTAATGAACAGAAATCAATAGCATTCATATGTAAAAACAATAACAATTTAGAAGATATGATGGTAGCAAAAATATTATTTTCCATAGCAACAAAGAAGATAAAATACTTAAGAATAAATTTAGCAAGAAACATGAGGAAACCTTTAAAACATTTCTGAAAGACTCAATGGTAGACCTGAACAAAGGTAAAGACCCTTGTAATTGGATAGGTAGGGCAACTAAACATCATAAAGATGCCAATCCTCCCTTAGTTAATTTATAGGCCTAATAAAATTCCAATAAAAGTAAATAAGCTTTTTTTATAATGGAGCTAGACAAATGGACATTAAATATCACATGGAAAAAGTAAAATGCAAAAACATAAAAAAGAAAAAGTATAAGGAGGATACTCACCCCTCTTATTCAAATAAACTATAGTAAAACATACTACTAACCTTATTAAGATATACTGTAATAAATTATGTTAAAACAAACAATAAACCCTTTATAATTAAAACAGTGTATTTATTTGGTGCAGCAATAAACACATCAGAAGAGTATACCAGAAAGTCCAGAAGTAGAGCCATGTATACGTGAAACTTAAGTATATGACAAAAGTGGTATTTCAAATTACTGAGGTAAAGATGGGCTTGTTAA